GACAGGCACAAACAGGGCGGTATTGGGAAGCAAAAGGGTACTATCTAGGAATTTTAAATAAACAACATCGAATCTGGATAGGTATGAATCTCTGCAGCACAGAAGCAGCTTGCGGCAATAGCTGGGATAAACACTTTAGGAATGCCTTAAGATCCACAAGAAACGCAGGTAAGGGGCTCAGCAGGTGACGGAGAAGGACCTCCAGGTCTCAGAGGAGATGTACCTCAGGCCACCAACACCCAGCTGGGAAAAGCTATTCTAAGACTCTGCCATCTTAAATTTGAGAATGTGCTGGAAGAGAAGGAGGCGTGGATTTCATTTGAAATCTACAGTGGAAACAGATAGCAATAGGGGATATTTTCTGGGAAGAGAGCTTCCTTTGTGGCAGAGAATCTAAGAGGATTACTTGCCAAGGACCTGGCTCCTTCAGTTACAATGGAAGAAAACCGGTTTAGAGAAAACTACTTGATTTGGGGGGAAGGGTGCGGGGAAATGACTTTGGAACATTTGAAATACTTTGACCTATGAAGTCATGCCCTCCAAGGAGACTGAGCTAGCAATTCTTCACTGGCAATGAAGTCACCTATCCCCTCACTGTACAGCTAAGTAATAGCTCCAGATTGATTGACTGCAGTGAATAATACCCACAAGCCATAAACGTCAGCAGAAACCCACGAAATCCAATTCTCCTGCATTGTTTTCCACCTGTCAGAGGCCACTGCTGTGTTTACACAACGGCTACGTCTAAACCACGGCTGCTATAGGTTTTCCTCTACAAATTTGCTTTCTGGTGGTCAAGATCACGGCACTGATGCACAAGAAGTCAACTGGAGTCCTCTGATCCACCACATCTGATCTCTATTCCTCAAGACCTGAGACAGCAGTGCCTCCTTTTAAAAGCCCTGGCTAGAGTATTAATGACCCCACAGCGACTTTGGTTAAAGAGGCTCTTAACGAGAATTTACTTAGAACCCGTCATATTCAACATAGCACAGCAGAATACAGAGCAAAAGGTGGGAAGAGGAGAAAAGAACAGAGACTCAGGGAGAACTGAAGTTGCACGTGCTGAGGAGAAATGGTGACATTAATTCTGTGCAACTGCTAGAAGACTTTTAACTTGTATTTATGAGAAGGAAGGAAGGTGGATCAGAAGCCAAACACAGTAGCCTAACAGACATTTGATGACAGCGAAAACACTGGGATTTCCAAAAGGAAAGTATTCTTATCAGTACATAACTAAAACATTTACCCATTTACTAATAACTATGCCAATATCACAAAGACGGTCAAAGAAAATAAGATCCAATTCCCATCATTAAGCATTTTGTGATTAAGCTTGGGGCAAGGAAAAAAGAGATAACGCTTAAACCACAAATATCAAACAATACTAAAAGGTGAATATTAACTAATACTCAAACACAATTTCGATTTCTTAGTGCCAGAGAACAGGTTTCAGCAGAGAAAGGTATTATTTAGCAGGGCTGTCCAACCTGTTGGCCTACAGGCAATAGGCTGATTTTGAGAAGACATTTTCTTGTTTATCTGTGGTGCAGGATATCATAAAAAGTATGCATGAATCTTTTCCTTTGTTTTTTTTTTT